CATGAAGTTGGTATTACTGTTTCATTGTTTCATGTTGTTGTTGTACATTATGTTTGTATCATGAAGTTGGTATTACTATTTCATTGTTTCATGTTTTTGTAGTACATTATGTTTGTATCATGAAGTTGGTATTACTATTTCACTGTTTCATGTTGTTGTAGTACATTATGTTTGGAACATGAAGTTGGTATTACTATTTCATTGTTTCATGTTGTTGTTGTACATTATGTTTGTATCATGAAGTTGGTATAATAGTGTTTCATGTTTTTGTAGTGCATTATATTTGTATCATGAAGTTGGTATTACTATTGCACTGTTCCATATTGTAGTATGTTATGTTTGTATCATGAAGTTGGTATTACTATTTCATTGTTTCATATTGTAGTATATTATGTTTGTATCATGAAGTTGGTATTATACTATTTCATGTTATAGTACATTATGTTTGTATCATGAAACTGGTAGTAATATTTCATAGATGTTCTGTATTATAGCATCTGTGAACGTTGGATTTTCAAAGAAACTGAGTTTGTTTAAATGATGTGAGGAAGATTTTACACTTATAAATTTAACAACAGTTTTCTGTTTCTTTTTACATGTCCTTATTTACTACTTAATTTGATCTTCTTCTTCCTTCCTCAACCCTTTTTTTCAATATCTTTCTAATATAGCTTCATTCTATTATAATGAACTTTCTGTAGAAGAAAACAGTGCCTTTCTGCACCTCATAAAATTTTATTCTAAGCTGTTTTTTTTAAAAACGTCACACAGTCTCAACATTTATCACACCCAAAAACTTCTGTGCTACTACCATTAGTATAAGCTCATCAAATTGGAAACAAAAGCTGATTCATCTAATAACAGTAAAAGAAAAAAACAAGTATGAAATTCTAATTGTAATGCACAATTATAAGAAGAGAGAAACATAACAAAAATAGCTTGTTAGAAGTTAAAATTAGAAGCTAACCTGTATGTAATAATAGATTTAACTCCATGGTAGTATAAGCTGGAAAAGTAAAACTACAAACGTTCTCTTAGGCTTAAAACAATAAAAACAAAATTTATCCAATAAAGAAACTCACTGTGATGTCTTTTCCAAGTCGTTTAAAACACCTAATGCATGTTTTTATATTTGTACGTGAATTACTTTCATTTTACTATACTACTTGATGTATGTTTAGTGTCATGAATGGAGACAAGATGATCTTATTATTAATATTATTATTGTACAAATGTGATAAACCTTAGTTATTTTATATTATGTGTAAGAATAGAATGAGGTCTACAATTCTGAATTTTTAATGATACTGCAAGTTAGATATCTGCCATTTGTGCAAAATGTTTTTCTCTTCGTTAGCTTCTGAATATTGAATCTTGTGAATCCTGCATAACAGTTACTATTAAAACAGGAAGAAACTCATTTATGCTTTTAACAGCTCGACTGCAAACTCTAAAACGTATCATTAATACTGCAAATCAACCAGCAATAATAATAATAATATATATATATTCATTACAAATAAAAATATTCAGGACCTTCCAGTCTGTCAGATCTTTTACTCAAGAAGGTACATCAAAACCGAAATTCTAGGGTTATGTATTTTGGAGAACATATAGCAAAAAATAGAAAAACAAAAAATAAAAGGCCTAGTTACTAAACTTAGACAGGAAGGATTTTGATGTAATAAATCAAGAGATGAATATCGGTGACATTTATTTGCTTCAAAAGTAAGAAGAACAGCTTAAGAAAATTTGTATTTATCTACTTAAATTGGTCGAGTGAAGTAGAATAATTTGTGGGGTGTTTAAATTTATGAACTCTTCCTGAGAGCTTCCATTAGTTTTCTGTTAATGGAATGTGAGTAATTATATATTGCATTTTAACTTGTATATAACCATGTGATTTAGATTGTGCGTGTGAGCTCACTCGATATATCATGAAAATGGGGAAATTGCATGTTAAAGTTTAGAATACTTTTTAAATATAAATAGTGTTATGACTATATTTGTTAACAACAGTTCTGAAATATAGTTATGTTATTCAAATGTTACTCTAGTTAGCAATATTTTTAACAGAATATTTTGAACACTAAAATCTCATATTGTGATTTAATCAACATTCCCTTGGATAATCAATAATATTTGGTTACTTGGTACATTTTCTGAAGTGTAAAATATTTTGAAATTATAAAGTACCTTTAGACCAAAGATTATTGATTCATCATTAGTTTCAAAAGTCACTGACTGAAGTTGAACTACTTCGCTAAGTATGTAAATAGTTTGTACAAACTTGTCAGGTAAACAAGACTCACATCAGTTTAATGAAGTGGGACGTGTCTAGAGTCTGTTTCTAGATATCAGTAATTGATTCATCATTAGTTTTAAAAGTCACTGACTGAAGCTGAACTACTTCACTAAGTATGTAAATAGTTTGTAAAAACTTGTCAGGTAAAACGAAACACATCTGTTTAATGAAGTGGGACGTGTCTAGAGTCTGTTTCTAGATATCAGTAATTGATTAAAGAATTACTCAGGTCGAGATGGTTCAACACTAGTCTGTCTTTGCACTATTTTTTTCAGCTTGTTAATGTCCTCCCTATAAAAAGAGTCTGTTTCTAGATATCAGTAATTGATTAAAGAATTACTCAGGTCGAGATGGTTCAACACTAGTCTGTCTTTGCACTATTTTTTTCAGCTTGTTAATGTCCTCCCTATAAAAAGATAAATGAAACTAAATAAACTACTGGAAAGAGTTTTAATCCAAGGAAACAATCTTCTTGCAATTTCAGGAAATTCATCCAGTGACTTTGAAAAAAAAAACTATTTAAAACTATTTTTTTCCCCACAATGTATATGCTTTTTTTTTCTCACACGAAATGTCCGCCGGTGGGACAGTGGTAAATCTTCAGATTTGCAGTGTTCCAATTGGGTTTGATTCCCCTCGTGGAACACAGAAGATAGTCCAATGTGGCTTTGCTATAATAACACACACATTCACATAAAAAATAAGTTATTTTTAAATTTTCTTACCCTACTTTAACTTACACACAGAATATTGAAATTCGTTAGCCCACAGAAACATTCTCGGCATCATAAGTGTGAGTATCCTATTGCTTAAGCTGGTATACGTATCATTAAGAAAAATATTAAATTAGAAAAATCCCAAATCAGACATGTGAACGACCCATGCTACTAGTGATATTCTTTCCATTCATAATAATAATTTCCATTAATAATCATCCTTTGCTTTCTTTTATATAAAAACCTATTTTTCACCAATAATATGGAATTTGAAATTTCTAATACCCCTCTTTGGTGGTACCTAATCAAAACCTTTCTGAAAATTGAGATACATAACACCATCTGAAGTGTTTTTATTGAAAAAAAGAGCAGAAATCTTATAAAAAGGACTGTCAGGAGTTAGTGAGGCAAAAAAGTTTCAAAATTATTGAAAACTAATTATTAAATGCCAACCTTCAAGAAGCTTTTCTAAAAGTTTTAAAACTGTTGAAAACTAATTATTAAATGCCAACCTTCAAGAAGCTTTTCTAAAAGTTTTAAACTGTTGAAAACTAATTATTAAATGGCAACCTTCAAGATGCTTTTCAAAAAGTTTAAAACTGTTGAAAACTAATTATTGAATGCCAACCTTCAAGAAGCTTTTCTAAAAGTTTTAAAACTGTTGAAAACTAATTATTAAATGGCAATCTTCAAGAAGCTGTTCTAAAAGCTTTAAAACTGTTGAAAACTAATTATTGAATGGCAGTCTTCAAGAAGCTGTTCTAAAAGTTTTAAAACTGTTGAAAACTAATTATTAAATGCCAAAGTCATTAAAATTAAAAGTTAAATCACTCCTTGCCTCTTAAAAAAATAGGGACTTCACCACCCAGTTATTATGGGATTTCCTTTTTGTGTCCAATGTCTTCTGGAAAATATTTCTTAAATACTTGAGCAATTCTATATTTAAGTTAATCTGCCAATGTTTTTTTATATATACCTACAGCCTTTTTAAAATAAGATAGGTTATCAAAAAGTTCTAAATGTGATTTTAAAGTTTCAGAACTTTCAAAGTGTTGTCTCTGCTTTACCAAACTATGGTCCATTTTGATCCTGATGAAAGAGACTTTTCAAGCTTTTAGGCCATTTTCTTGACCTTACACATGAAATATATAATTATACATATATGAGTATTATTGTAACATTTGTCTTTTATTAGTGGGTTCTTTTGAGTTATCTGGTGAAAACAATTCAATATTCACTCCACATAACTATAATAAGTTACTTTATTTCCTCATCTAATGTTTCTACCAACTAGAACACTTGTACACTGTCACATGTTGTTGTAGGCCTATGTTACAAATGATGTTAACTAATGTAAAACAAATCAACTTACTTGTACAAAGTAACTCAATAAACATGATAGCTAACAATCTGACTGGCTCACTCTCTAGCTTGAAAATATCTTTCCTTTTTATCTCCATGGCTATCTTTCAACTTACAATTTAGCTATAGTCTCAATGCATCATGGAAAATTGTATTTATAATCTACACTTGTTCTAGATATTTCTAGAACTTGCTTGATCTTAACATCATGTATCTCTCTAGTTAACATCTAAATTAAACAAATTACAACATTATTAATATTGCTTATAACATATAAATGGTGAAATGAAGTTAGCTTTTATTATGGTAATTCTTTGAATAGTATAATTTACATCTATGATATATCTAGCATTGAACCCAATGATTTCTAATAATTAATTAAAAACAATTTTCTCAATTTGCAGGTTCTGGAAAATCCTTCACCATGATGGGTTCTGAGAATAATAAAGGCCTTATTCCTCGGCTGTGTGATGCATTATTTGAAAGAATCGCTTCCAACAAAGATCCAAGTAACAGTTACAAAGTTGAAGTTTCTTATATGGAGATTTATAATGAAAAGGTTCATGACCTCCTTGATCCAAAGGGGTACGTAATCAGTTTTTAAGGTGTGTATGTATGTGGGGGGACATGAATATAATGTCAAACAGTTCCTGAGTTGTGTTGGGACATATGTATTATGAAATAGTTTCAGAGTTATGGAGGATGTGTTATGAAATAGTTCTTCAGTTGTGTGAGGATGTGTGTTATGAAACAGTTATTCAGTTGTGTGAGGATGTGTGTTATGAAACAATTCTTCAGTTGTGTATTATGAAACAGTTCTTCAGTTGTGTATTATGAAACAGTTCTTCAGTTGTGTGAGGATGTGTGTTA